GCCGCCAGATTCGTGCTCCGCCAATTGCTGATTCCGATAAAGGAGACCAACTGCTGGAAAACGTCTGATACGAACGATATGGTAGTCCTGTCGTTTGTCGAAAAAAACAGGTTGGCTCAGCGCCAAGCGCGATCGCGGACACGCCCCATCATCCGCAGCGAACCAGAGTATGAGTTGTACTGTTTAGTCACTTACGAGATGATGTCGACTTTTTATATTTCCAGTTATTTCAGATTAGTTTGATGAATGAAAGTTTTGTACTATTTTTTTTTACATATCCGAGTTCTCTACAAAGCAAGTTTCGCTGTACAGGACTCAGCACACTGACACCTTTGCGCTGCTCGTTACTGGCTACCGCACTCATTACGACCCCCCCCCTCTCCTGGCGGCCAAATACGACCCCCTGTTGGGGATTCCCCAACCAACGATGTGCCCTGCGGTTCAATAAATCTTGGAGGTTCAGTTGGTAGACTACATATATATTAACAACTAGGAACATACATCATTACTTCAATTCTTAATTATAAGCGACACATACGGCTAACAATATGTTTGTGCTCTTGCCATTTGTGAGTCGACTGACATGAATCTCTGTTGGCAAGGTGCCTGAACAAGTCGGATTCATTGAGGCACCAGGTTCTCATTTGACAGTGAGGTCGAAACCGAAGCCCTTGATGATTTGCACCATTCTAAGCATGCCCGAGAACGTAGTCTCCTAACCAGATAGCTAACCTGGGGGGGGGGGGGGTGAAATTGTAAAAATATACAAGAGGTGCTCTCCAAATTGCTTCACCGCGTCGACTTGCTGCTTCAAATCGAGCACTTAAAATCAGTGTAAACAAAATTCTCAGAAAAAAGAATGTGCCAGCTTTTGCGGACTTAGGCGACTTATGGCAGGCGTTTAGTTTCGCGACGCGATCGCCGGCCATCTCCAGTAGGAGGAATGACGAACTCGCCCAACACAACTGAAGGACGGATTGAAAAACTTGTTGGAAAGGTATTTTCATGCGGTTTTTTTCTTTCTTCCGCCTACTAGTACTCTCAGAGGGGGTTATTTGATTAATAAGTGGGGTGCAGTTAAATAATAGGCTTGTAGATCGACATATAGTATAGTTCTCTGCGGACGGTTGGGCGTGTCAGTGCGGCTGCGTTTGGCGCGGTGTGCAGCGCCTTCTCGGCACCAGTTTTTTAGAGCAAAGAATCATAATGATTGTATCATATCGATCGTATTACTCGTTTTCCTACCCCTTTTTGTCGCATAGTAGACGCGCTGTACTAACAAGAAGACAGAGAGGCGGCCTGGACGCTGTGGCAACTCCAACTGGCTGACACGCCCGGAAGACGCGTCCGCAGGCGAAGTAGAGTGTATGCAGCTCCGGTTTGTAAATTTCACCTTTCTGGATATCAGCCCGGTTTGACTTCATCTTTCCTACTGCTAAAACTCGTTATTACTGTTGTATCGTCTTAATTTTTTGTGCCAATTAAAATGTTCTTTCCAGGATCCCTTACGTTGCGTTCCAATCTCAGTCGCATATAACGGCGCAGGTAAGTTCCTTATCCTTGACTTTCCCTTGGTTTGATCTCGCTTACTTTTTTAGAACTTGTTCCTCGATTGGAAATAATCCACGTTTTGTTCGACAGATTCGTGGGTAAGTTTCTTTCCCTTGCTCTTTCTTTTGTTTTACCTCATTTACGCGTTTCAGATCCTTACTCTTCGCTCCATTTCCTGACTCACTTCGCATAACGGCTTTCAGGTAGGTTCAAGGCTTCAGGCTTCAATCGAAATACATGTTACTGGGAGTGTTGTTGCGCGCTTTAATTCTATCAACTCTTCCTTCTTGTTCCAGCAACTGGACATGAAGTGGGGGCCAAGGGCAAGTCAATCAAGGATGAAACAGCGCATAACAAAAATATGAATGGTACCTGCTGCTCCGTCATTTGTAGACAGTTTCGTGTTTTTTTTACGTTGTCTATTGTCGCTTAGATGTCGACTGGCTGTTCCAGGCTCGATTTCTGGGTATGTAATATGTTTACCATTTTGTCATATGGACCTCCTTCACTGTTTTGTTCAGAATAACATGCTGTGCTTGTTTTCAAGCCGACTTTCGAGTTGAGACGACTGTTGCTATAAAGTGATTTGTATGTGCAAAGACAAACGAAATGAATGATCTCCGGTTTCCTAGTTTCCAAGCAATTCATGGGGCTCTCCTTTCCAGGGTTTCCCCTCTACGCGCTCAAATTATGTGGGAACCTGGCGATTAGAGAGGGATCACCCTCTCTTGATAGCTACATCTCTAGTAATGATCTCCGAATAGCGTACTCTAATTGGTGTAAGCTGTGTTCTGTTCTTTCGAAGTGCACACCAAGTCTATTCAGTAACTATTTACTCTTCATCAGGCATCAGTTCTAACACTATAAAAATGTCTTAGGTAATAGCACTTCCTACCACAACCACAGTTAGCAGATAAAGAATAACACAATTAGACAAGAATAACAAGATAACAAGTTGACGAGTTAATGCCGATTCCGGCTTTTTCAGTTTTGCGTCATCATCGAGACTGATATCATAATCTTCAAGTCGACGATATTCTTCTGGAAAAGAAAATAATACGTAGGAATTGCATGTAAAAAAACTGGTATATTATACATTTCAGCTAGAGAAATGGCTAGCCGTGATCGCCTAGTCGCTGAAATGCAGAACGCCATGAGGGAAATAGAGGAGGCGTGCGAGAGGTACCACAGGACGAGGCCAAGAAGGGAATATGTGCGCCTGGAACACGTTCCGTTCTTGGACGCCTACATGCAAACGTTTCCTCCACTATACGAGACGACGCCGATGGAGTTCAATCTGCGGCTAGCCGGGTCGCTGAACCATCCAATAAACCACGCCTCACCCATATCACCGGGCCAGAGACTTTTTACGTTTATGAGGTGACAGATACGTACGCAATGGAAATCTCAAATATCTATCATCATCTCATCTTAAAGTACGTGGGTCACGGATATTCGTTTGGAGCGTTGGCGGAAGAACTTCATTGCGGAAAGTTCACAATAAGCGTCATTATCGACGAGGTGGCGGGCGCTAACCAATGGTACGTCCTTAATCCACCATAAAACGAAATTTTTGCACATTTGCGGAGTGATGCCCCCTAAATAATCAGTATTTAGTGTTACGACTACCCGCGGGCAGTCGGATTTCTGGACGGAAAGCACATAATGATCGGGGTGGGAACGGAGTGTTCGCCAACTGTATAAACTGATAATAATGAAGAACAATTGCAGAAACCCTCTCGTTCCGGCAGTTTATACTCCAACTACAGGAAGTTCTTCTCCATAATACTTCTAGCACTAATAGACTGCGACGAATTCTCGCTTTCGATCTAGGGGCAGCGGGTCGAACAGGAGACGCGGGAGTATTCAGTGACTCCACAATAAAGTTAGGGCTGAAGACTGTAGCCTTTTAACTCGTCTAGGAATGTTCGCTATTCTAGCAGTTCTTTCAAGGCCATGACGACATCTTCCCCCCAACACGACAACTGGGGAGCGTTGGACCCGTTCTACCATATATTGGTGGATAGCTGGTTCGCGCAGGGGAAGCGTTATGTTGGGCCCTACTCTCAGGCTGCCGCGGATACGCCGAGCAAACAGAGAAACATAGCGGGTACACATTCATTTCTCTATATTGAAGGGATTTGTTTGAGCCAGTACATTCAGCGCTCGACGAATTGTGGAGTCGACATTTGGGATACTGTGCAGACGTTTTGCCGTCTTACAGAATGCAGTGCTTTTGGAGCCAGACAAGGTAATGAAAGTCGTCACTTCGCTGCTGGTGAACAGTGCTCAATCCTAAGATCACGACATTACAGCTAATACCAGCCTGCAGAGTGGTTTTTCAGGTTTTGCACAACCTGCTGGCAAGAAGGCAAAATGCGCTTGAACACGCACAGAGATTTAGCGCTCCGAACCAAGAGCTGGACCCCCTTGAGTGCGATTGGAGAAGGAACAGATGCGACAATAATGGCGAGAGAACGTATAACAGAATATTACGATACCCAGCGCCACTAAGTAAGTTAGTAGGCACATCAATTTTCAGACTTACCTTCTAATGCGTTACTGCCTTCTGAAGGCTGTGAAGCATGTGAAGGCTGTGAAGCATGTGAAGGCTGTGAAGCATGTGAAGCTGTTGCAGCAATAGTAGTATCCGAATCGAAAGATAAAATCTTCTGCAGAACTGTCGTGGAAATGGTTAGCATTAAATCATGGGCCACGCTACTGTCTGCATCGCGCAGCAGAGAACCCAGCCATGCTCCTGAACATCCTCAGTTAGATGACACATGTGATAAGTCAATGTAACGAAAATTCTCTACCGAACTGGGAGAATTTATCCCCGGTCGTTCCCTGACGATCTTCCTCTTGGAGAGCTCGGGATGACTCTTCGACCACTGAGGTTGCTCTTCTAATGACGTTTATAGGACCTGCAAAAAAAAGCTCCCCAATGCTGATAACGCAACATGTAATTCCACCACAAATTACCCACCATCAGCTCTCCTTTTTCGACTAACTTACTCGAGCCCAGTGGAGCGCTGGAAGTTGAAGGGGTTGTTTCGCGCGTTGCTGGTGAACTGGACCAGAAGGGAGCGGAGCAAAGGCCGTCAACAGGATTCCTGCTCTCCTAGGAAACTCATCATATCGCCATAGAGCCAATCCTTCGCGGCTTCAGAGCCAGTCGACATTGCTTGCCTCCTCTTCCTAGTGTCGCGCAAGTTCTTCCATATGTTTCTGAAAGTGAGCACTAAAATTCCCAGCTTTCCCTCAGGAACTGTTGCTGCAGTTAATGGTGGATTGTCGCGAGTGAATACTCACAACTATAGTCATAACCGTAACTCTGCATCCCCTGTAATACTCCCAGGCGCTTCGTTTGCATCCTGATAGTTTATACTCTTCACTTCTCACATCCCAGATACTTGCTTCACATTCGATTAGCGCACGTGGGTCTGCACGTGGAACCATGACCTAAACACCACAATTTCACAACTCTGCAAGCGAACTTTCACCGAATATTTGACTTTTTGAGCGAACGTTTATGGATGTCGCCACAGGGCCACTTTGTTTCCACATTTCTTTGTGAATTGTGCTAGATGTGATAGCTGTAATCGAAGGTATAAAGATTCTC